CCGTTTTGGAGTTTGATTAGTATAGATGGCGGCGCGAAGCGCCGCGCACACCTTCGATTTACATGCGGAAAAACATACTCCCAGCGGCCGCGGGAAACAACTTCGACTAAATTTTTTCACTTTATACTTGCTTCTAAAAATTTCCTTCTCTACCTTTCATATTTCTTTACCCCCAAAAACGTTATAACCACCGCTTTCGTAGGACAAAATCCTGGGACTACATAAGCTACTTTTGTTTTTTACACATTGGCAAATATTGTTCAACCCTACCTGCCGTGACATTTTAATTCAAGGTTTCAAAACTATATGCTGTGTAAATTCCGTCTAAAAAATCTTTCTACCCTATAAAAAGAAAGTCATATAGTTCTCATAAATTTTTGCAGTGCACGTGGGTTGAGATGCCTATATTATAGGCAAGGTAAATAAATTTACGAATATGACTATTATGAATGAAAATATCACAGTCATAAAATGCCCATATTTAAAAACTTTTAAAGACCAAAAAATGCCAATTCTTCTAGTATAAACTTTTAAGAAAGCATAACTTTCTGCAAAAACTAAAAGGAAGAGTATTTTGTGCATTTTTTTCTATAAAATATTTTTGAATTTATAAGGGCATCGAAAGTCAATGAAGAAATTTCAGACTTCTTAAGTTATCCTTTTTACAGTGTATGCTTTTTGCATGTGGTCAGAAAGAAGCCCATTCAGAAGCAGGCATCCCGGCATGACCGAAATATTTTGTGCTTAGAGTGCATAGAAATCCATCTTATAACTCTACTTAAGTGGTTTGTGCAAAAATAAATTCGGCTGAAATGTCATGAGATGGGAAACCTACTTTATTGCACCGACCAGTGATGTTGAATAAACAGATTTTCATTTAATCAGCCTGTCTTATAATTACATTTGTAGAAGCGACTCCGAATTCCGGGAAAAGGTATAATTTAATCGAGGTCTCTCCTGTTCCGATCTAATGACACCGTTTTTGAGTTTTTTTTAAATTTCAGTTTGTTCTGGTTCCAGTTTTGGTTCCATAGACAGCCCGACAGTCTTATAGCGCAACAGATGTAGCGACTTTTTCCACGACGTCATTTCTCCTGTTATTTGAGACTAAATAGACAAAAATGACTTTTTGCCATACTATATTTTCGCCGTTTTAGAAACCTATTAGTTTACATCAAGGGCGAACTTTAGTTTCCAAAGGAAACGATAGACACAAATTTTCTCTCAGGTTGTGTTTAGTGGACACATAATGTGCTTAACACCATGGACATTAAAGTTCACAAAAAGTAAGCGTACTCCAGTTGCCGTTCCGCCATGACTAAAGTCATGCCCGGAGATTTGAACGCGGCATAGCCAATGCCAGGTTATCACTAGATCCCAGCTATTTTTCCTTTTTAGGCATTTAGAATGTAGGATGAATGGAGAATTGTAAGTGTTCAATGGAGCAAATTTTAAACTTCAAATGCGACGTATTCCAACGTTGATATGAGCACAGCGTAAATAAGGACGATAGAGCGTTTAAGAACAGCGTGATTTTGAACTACATATATTGAATACAAACTTTTTGGCAGTATTCAAGGTCTAAGATCCTATAAAGATTTCGGAAAGTAGTCAAAGACACACCAACAACGGGAACAATACGTGATTCAATATATTCCACTTCAAAACGACGTTCTAATACACCTGAACTCTTATTTTTTTCAATTTAAACACTGTTATCTCGAAGTTGGCATCACCGGAATCAAATATCTGAACACAACGAGTCCCTGGATGGCCTTCTTGCGAAAAAATTAACTCTGCTGAATGTTTAGACATCCGCTCAAATGCGCAAGTAATTTTTGAACTTATGCGACTGTGACTTGCTTGCGTGAATGTTTTATTTTGTTGAAACTCAGGGGTTAAGCATATAGCTCGAAGCAAAGCGCAAAGTCGTCTTTCTTAAAGAGTATGTCAATTCTGGTAAAAAATGGTTTCCCCAACAGCTTCTTATCCCTCCATGGTACGAACTAGGACTCTTGACTTCCTGAATGAACTTATAGGAACATGCTTCTAAATACACCAGTTTTCTTTGGGGAGTTTTCTGTATTAATTTACTTGGGGCACATTTCCAACATCAAATATATCGCTTGCGTAAATCAAATTGGCTACAAAATGACTATTTATTTGGCGGATATTTGTTAAGGACTCGGCTTGCACTCATTAACTTTATAATAGTTTCTACAAATTATTGTTTCATATTTTATTTATTAGGCTTATTCCATAGCAACTTAAGTTTCCTTGTGGTTTCCTACTTGGCAGAAGATCTTCCTTCTCAGACAATTCGGTAATTCCTTCATTCTGACGTTTCCGTTGCACTTAAGTTTTCCAAATTACAAGGTGCAAAATTTCATTTAAGTAAACCCATCTACCAGAAAGCAGTCACAGAACACCAGGAGACCCACTGTCAAGCATTGGCTCGTCCTTTAGCTAGCACCTGTGCTGTCAATATGGTGTCATCTATATTTTAGTATGAAGGAACATGCTGAAACTTATAACTTAGCGGATAGGCTTCTAATTGTTTTTTTTCTTGCGTTCTAAGTGCCTATGTAACTTGAATTTGAACTTCCACTGCATCACTTTATTGAGATGAGTTACTTTGTAAACTGCAAAGCTATTGGTACATTAAGACACTCTGCACATTTAACCAAGGAGGATCTCGTCTTTACACCGAAAGCCAATGAATATATTTTATTTCGTTATAGCTTCTGTTAACGCCTCTCAAGATGCATTAGTGCCTACACATATTACCCCAGAAAGCAGACAGGATGAACTATGTGCACACCTAGGGTCCACGTTGTGTTCTAAAAGACCAGAAAGTAAGACCATAAGCCAAGTTATACCTGTTGAAATTCAATAAAGTGATAAATGCACTCGCACTATGTGGGGCTACCCTACTTCTGTCTCAGTACAATGATTAATTACTGTTATCACAAAGTCTCGCAATGCATTACCTGAAATTGTGTCTAAAGCTCAGAGCAATTCTAAAGTTAAAGCCCATTTCTTGGAAATAATGTTTCACTGGAGAGTATTACGGCTGAGGAAAGTTAAACCAACTATAATTATGCCTCTATTTCTACGGTGAACCACGTAAAAATACGCACAGGTCTTCAGCATCCCTTTCATGTTTATACCCACTTCGCGCGAACTTTGAACCACTTTAATACAACGTAAATATGTCTTTTTCAGCGTCTTTAGAAGGGCAAACCTACTCGACTCTCGTCATTATGAATTTATATGTCATTATAACTTTTAAATAGGTTAATATTATTTATCGAATGTACAACTGCTATGATCATTGCGTTTATTAGCGCAGATTCGTCACAGGGTTAATTTTGGTTCAAAAGCAAGAGAGTTTGATGAGAACGAACACGTTGTTTCACTTGGGCAGTGAAACTGTGATTTTTTTACAAAAGAATATCCAAGGAGTATTGCGAATAAAGGCAACAAAAACGCAACCGTCATTTCTGATTTATTTGTTTTCATCTTCCAACGATTTTTAGAAACGTATCTTGTAACTATCCGTGCTGGCTTTATAATAGATCTAAAGTAAAGAGGGGCTGACTGATATTCCTCCCAGTGATCAGGAAAGGCCAGCGA